TACAGAATTTCTTTCAGACCCGTCCAGAAATTTTTGCGTGAAACCAAAATGCGTCATCAGTGAACAAATCACTGTCATTAAATATTTTCATTTCTTTCTTTTTTTTACTTGAGTAAAAATATTGTAGCGCTGAGATTATAAAAATATAATTTTAATCATATTATTTACATTTTTATTATTTTGTCTATTTCAAATAATATTATTTAAAGGCAGATAATTTCATGAAATTTAATTTTTAAAAAGATTCGCAATGAATATGATCTGTTTAGTTCATTACTATAATTGATGAAATTGAAATATTTCATGTTTGTACCGAAGTCTTTAACATCACTTACGGACTGTCATATCCAAACCATTTTCATGCATCCAAGTGGAAAAGTCATTGGGGAAATTCGTGGGGTGCGACGCACCGTGTTTTCGCTCGAGCCAGTGTCGTTTTCGCCTACGCCGCGAGAGGGCGCCGCTAGCGCTCTAAGGCCCAACCACGTGACTTGTTGCTTGAAACACAGACGTAAACAAAACATGCATCTTGATACAACGTGATTAGTTAAACAGTGACATGAATTTTATAGCAAAACCCTTATATAACCATGCCAGACTTTGTATGCTCTTGAGTTTTGCTTTAGCTATATTAGTGGCCGGCATTTTGTTACGTGCGAGTAAGCAGGCCGAAATACAAGTGGAATATAACAAAGAATACGAGTCTATGATAAATGTGACGGCCACCGAGCCAGGGAAAACGAGAAGAAAAGAATACCTGTACCGCCTTTTGACAAATACGACCCGCTCCCTCATACAAATGGAAATAAAAGCTAGGAGACTCGAGGAAAATATGCGTAGGATTAAGGAGAAGACTGCAGATTTATTGTGGAAGAATAAGGACAAAGCGCTCTGGCACATTTTGTTCAAGAATATCAGCAGACATATTTCAATCCGACACGAGTTTCACCAGCATTCTAGTTTGAGAAGAATAATGCAGGATAGTCACAAACACGTACACAACCACAAAGTTGCTAGAAGAAAAGTTTCCCGATTATAAACTCTATTACCTATAGTTATAAAGTGTACAAACTTTTAATTTGAACTGACAATAAACATATATAACGCAATGCTACGAATTCTTCTGCCTGTACCACAGCACAACGGATCGTCACTCAAAGCACGTATGTAACATATTTCTAGCTTATTTCTTTAGCTACAATTTTATTGTGTTGCAATATATATTCGCCTCGGCGAGTCTTAACGATGCCACGCTCACTGAATGGTATTATTGCTCACGTATATCTCTAAGGAAACGAGACGACAATTTGTTTTTGTCATGCTACGTTTTGCACATATTATCCTGTCATTAATCACAGAAAGGCATCTAATGAAATGTTGCTAAATGGTTTGCACTTTCAAATTCACATGATTATTAGTTTGATATTACATTTAACATGTAAGTTACCAGTATATGTCAATGTTGAAAAATGTCATAGTAAGTATAGAAAATATTTAAACATTAAGATTAAGCTTTGTCAAATTCCGGAGAATTCATACCTTTCAGTATGCATCTACGTCTACGTACGCATACGTCTTCACATTTGAATTTTTATGGAAATGCAATTTTTATTTCATTCGTTTTCACAACTCGTTTCAGCATACACGTTTGTATCGGTGACTCTTGACTATTTTATCTTACAGCATACGATATATCTGATTGGAACATGTGGGTCCCCCCCTGCCCTGCTCGCCACAACTCCTCTGCCCTGCACTCCTGCCTCAGTCTTTCCTCGAATTTGGATTTGGTCTTTATAGGTCCTTTGTCACAGATGACCAGACATACGGAAACTAATTATAACTATTGAACTATTTTAGTTTTTTATTTATAAGTCTTTTAAATTTTCTTTGCTAGTCTATGTTTTAGAGTTAACACACTATCTCTTTTACTGTGGTATTTACTAATTGAGAGTGACTATATTTTTAGGCCATTCTGATTACTTCAGACTTATTTATTATAACCACAGATATAAATAAGTCTGTGGCGAAAACAATTCCAAAAACTCCCACAATAACGTTGAATCCAGTTTCTTTATTGCGTTATATTGCTCAACGTCATGCCTAATTCACGTCATATTTTAGTCTGGTAAAATGTTTTTCTTTATTTTATTTACCAAGCCTATATTGATTGTCGGGGGATATACCGTGGGGTATTTTTTGATTGACAATTTTCGCGATGAGCGCGCCCTGAGCAATCGTAATATGGCGGAATCGTAAATGCGGCGTAAGCAATTTTCCAGTAATGCCAAGTCGCCACCAATATTGGCATCTAAAAGAATATGGGATTCTAATCTATACTTATTGTAACTATATATATAGCGAAAAGTCTAGGAAGCTGATATTGAAACATATGTAGGTTTATTTTATAAGAAGACCATTTACTAAGATATTTTATATACCTAATATCTACCATAATTCCGAAACTAGGCGTGCAATCTTGTGGGAGATAGCTAGAGATAGAGATAGCAATAAATATATTTAGATTAATCTTAAAGGATATATCAACCTGAAAGCCAGTAATAATAAGTATTCATAAAACAGAAAAACTGTTCCACAGAATAACAATGGGAAATACATTTTAATTTTCATACGGCTGTGCGGTCTTGTGTCCCGTTTAGTCTCTCGGTGGTTTAGCATACTGCTTTACTATCAATGGTCGCAGTTTCGATTTTTGTTTGGGTTTAAGTATATTCTATGTACGTTATGTATGTACTTACAAAGAAAATCGAATTTATAATATCAGTTATATATTGCCCATAACCCAAGCTCTGTTTACCTTGGGACTAGATGATATTGTAATTGTCCAGGGGTATTGTTATTATTTAGTATGAAAAGTTCAATGGTTTATAGAAATATAGTATACTTAACAACAAGAGTTGTAGCTAAATATTTCTATTAAAGTATGTGCGTCAATTTAATAGAAGTTCGAACGAGAGTCAAACGCTCAATCAGATTAATCCCGAAGTCCTCTAAAGCGCTTTACACACGTCGCAGTTTGCCCTAACCTGAGAAAGACTCTAAAAAGACTTTTGCGTGGGTACCCCAGTTTGACTTGCTGTCTCAGATTTGCTATGTAACTTTGTTTAAGTTGACAGGTGAGATAGTGAAATCAAATTACGTGGTAGGAGTCATAACATCTTGGTCCTCCGGAATGGTAACGCAGGAGTACCATAATCATGTGATGTTTAGCGTGATTTTAATTTATAATATAATACTTATAAATAATGGTTAAGTACCGGAGGGCCGTCAGCTTATTTCCCATTTCAATGACATAAAAATAAAACACGAGAATGTATAATTTCATTGCTAGTACAAATTTTCATAGTACTAAATAAACCTTGCCGTGAAATGTCTGTGAAAAGACCTAACCGAATAGCTTCATAGGCTAGTCTCCGTCTATAAATATAGATAAATGTACGATATAAATACTCTAATTTATATGAGAACGTGAGTACGAAATGTATCACTAATGACTTATTTGCCTTAATGATTCACAAGTATACAAAACAAAAACAAATTTATCGCCAGGACTGTTGTAGCAAATCGGATAGTTAGAGGGCATTGTCTGATGTTAATGTTGAGGTAATTTCAAAAGTTGACGTTACCACAACATTATCGCTGTGTATATTTGAATCCGACGTGGAGCCAGCCTACCGCCGTCTCTTGGATTATATTTGGTTTATTATTGGTTCACTGAAGAATCAGTCTTATTAATGTATGTACATTGAAGTCAAAGAGGCTCCATTCTTCTAGGGTCTTATGGAAATATTTTTAATGTGCTTATAATTATTATTCGAGCTGACCCTGGCAATTTCGTCTACACTACATTTTTCCTGTTTTTACATCATTTTTCATTGATAATGTTTTGTGCACAATAACAGCAATACGATAAGTATTCGTCCGTTGAAGTTACAAAGGCCAGCGACAGTCAACTACATTATAATAGTAAAAAAATCGATAAACAGTATAGGGTAAAAGTGGAATAAATGTTAAGGTTAAAAACTTAATTAACGAAAAAAAATTTTTTTTAAGTTTGAGATAAAGTAATAATGATTGCATTTATAATCGAAACCACTATAATAGAAAATTAAAATAATTTCATACTCTTATGTTAGAAAAAATAAAACTAAATGAAAATGAATACACAACAATACTGCTTATTACATTCAAAACTTGCTGTTCCTAAGCATAGTTTAAAAAAGTAAATAGATCTTTTTTGGGAATGAGTAAGAAATTTTACAGTATTATAGATACTAAAGAAAATTCCTTAGAGACTTTCTTTAAAAAAAATTGTAACTCCTTTTAAAGCATATGTATTGATTAAAAAACCATTTACGTACATGGCAATAGTTGTTCATGTACTGGATTTTAATTTAATGTTAGACATAGACACCTAAATATGTAATAAATGTTTAGAAACAGGCTTTAAAAAGAATCGAAGTCAAGCTTTTCTTAATAGAATCTATATCTATAGACGGTAGGGAAAAAATATTAATACAAAAAACTTTACGTTTATAAGCGACTACAATATCGTACATATAATGATTTTTTCCTATGACTTGATTTGCTTATAATTTTCAAATCCGTTAATGCAACAATAGAAAATGCATTTAATTTTGAATTCACTACCGGGCTGTTCGAAAATTAAATGAATTGAAGCATTCGTTAGGTGTAAGGTAAATTTGTTGCTAGGCCATTTTACCCAGATTTACCCTTCATAAAATATAAGTAGGTGTCACTCACACTGTCACAAATTGCTATATCTCAATGTTTGTGTGCTCTGCTAAAAGAAATATGTAAACACCTTCTCGATAACAACATTATGCATTTTCTACTTTTTATGCGAGTTATTTTGAACTGTCGTGATTTAATTTACATTGACAGCGTTGGTCCTTACGTGTGAGAGCGAGATGCAAATATATATTTTATTCTTCGATGTCTCCAACCCGGTTTGTTTACTAGTCTAGTACATCAGACCACTTTATTTATACTGTGACTATCTGTGAGACCGGTTGCCGGCTATTTGTTTTGTTGTGAATTAAATCTATCATAATGTCTTGTTGTAAGTATATTTTTTTTATATTTTATTATTTATTAACAATATTTTAAAGATAGTTTTCAAGATAGATCATACAAATAGTCTCAACATCAATACACATTGTATCCTTACATTGTATAATAAATCGCTTAATAAACCGCTGGGTTCACCTATATCTTTTTAGTACGCAGCGGATTTTAATGCAGTTTTTAGCAATAGATATAGTGATTTAAGAGGAATGTTTATATGTATAATACACATACACGTATGTGAAACCACGGCGGGTAGGTAGTATATTAAAAACATAAGTGTCATCGTGATTTGTGTAAGATATTTATTCAACTTTAGGTGCATTTTTGTAACTGAAATAGTACCTAATGACTGTTTGTCTTTTGACGGTACCATGAACTTGACGTCATGACTATACACCCGTGTTACTTATTATGCATTACTATTCATTAGGACTAAGGTGCAATGTCTTCCTACAAATTTCACACATCAAACCTAAACACAAGCACAAGACGAAGACAATGGTACCCACTAAATGATTTTATATAAATTCTACCTCCAAAAATGACAAGGTGTAAAGTAACGTCTACATACCATGAAAATAAACTTGTAAAATAAAAAAAAAAACATAATAACAAATATAGTAACTTTGTTGCTAGGCTCACAAAATAATTAAGCCTAGTAAGTTGTTGTATTTCAATTGTATGTAGGGTACTGGCACCAGTAGTCAGCCTTTTAGTGGTAAGTCTGGGTTCAAACTTATATAAGAAAATATTAGAAAGAGTAAATTGAAAGTCTTGTGTATAATTTAACTTACTCATTTATTAAACTTTGTTACAAAATTAACAAAAATTACAAATTTATCCTTTAATAAAGTGAAAAATACTTTTTAACAAAATAAGGCACTTTTCACCAGTGCTCAGCCGCCAAAAACTAGTACTCAGCCATATTGCCACCAGTGGTCAGCCTCTCTTAAGATCAATAGTTTCAAGCTTAAAGATTAAGAACATAAATAAACAATTAGTCCGGTCATAGAACCTAAAAGGACTTAACTGTGCCCTAACAATCACAACAATCAAATACCTATCTAACTTATATTTAAATCAGTCGGAAACTTCTTTAGTAACATCAGTATTTAAAAAGATTTCAAGTTCTTCTTCTTCTTGTTCTTCTTTCTAAAAGTCGCCGATTAACATTTTTTTTAGGAGCTTATCTTCCTTACAGGTTTCTGTGTCAGGAGTTTCAGGAGATAGAAGTATATTACTGAGAATTTTTATTTTGTATTATTTTATTGTGCATTTTACGCTTAATTCCTTATCATAATCATAATTTTTCTTCTTTGTAGTCTCCTTCACTTTACTTTTGGTAGAATCTAGAGCTGCTTTTTTTCTTTTTTTTGTATAAAAAACAATTTAAATTTGGACGGTTGAATACTGGGTCTACTTTCACCAGTACTCAGCCATGTAACAAACTCTAACTATTTAAGTGGCCGACTATTGGGTTTTTGACAAACAGCGTTAAAACCAGTAGTCAGCCAGGGGTGGTTGAGTACTAGATAATGTATATAAAAATGGAACCCAGTAGTCGGCCACTTTATTATTTAATAATTATTAAGAAAAACATGATACTTTTCATTGATTACAATGCCAAAACTCTTAATTAATGTAAATTTTAATACAATGTGGCCTAAAACTAACAAAAAAATGAAATAAATTACCATTTCTGTGAACGCTTCTAACTAATAAAAAAATGGCGCGCACGCCGCATGTCGCCTCGTCAGCCGATGACGTCGTAATAGATTCATATTTAATGTACTTCGCAGCCACGTATCTATTATGTTTGGATTTAATTCTAGCAATGAGGAGTCATAGAACCAATTTAAAATAGTTTGATTAGGTAATTTCTGTTATAGCGCTATTCCTATTGGTTTAAAACCAACAAAGGCTGAGTACTGGTGCGGGGCCGACTACTAGTGCCAGTACCCTATATGTATTGGGTTTTCGGAGCCGGTACCTAAACGGCTGGCAACTATTTGCGGTATCCGACTAAAATCTATGTCATCGACCTTTTGAGATTTCACACCAATGTGGTAAACGAAAACCACGCATCTACAATATATATTTTATTTAATTTACTAAGGTCTATAAACAATAATTAAAGCCACCTTGTTACATATATTTAGTAATTGTGATAGAATTATATTAGACTGTTATAATATGATTATATTATAACAGTCTACGAAAAATGAAACCGGTTATAACCGTTTTTTTTTATGATGATGATTGAAAATGTAAGTCCTTCCATTTCTTTATTATTTAATACATTTTGAATTATAAGACAATCATCCATAAGACATCTTATGTAGTACCTACTACATAAGATGTCTGGATAGAAAGTACTTACTACAAATTTTCTTTTGCTTTAAATCATACTAGAGAGATATTGGATGTCAGTCCAAAAATATTTATATGAGTCTTTAATATATATAGCCTATTATTAAATTTTCTGTTCTAATGATTCTGTTCATATTTTATTATACCCTGATATATTGAAACGCAAATAAGTTATTATTGAAAAGGGATCATGCTAAATATTATGAGCATATTATTATGCAATGTAATGTCATAGTTATCCAGTATATCTTATCTGCATAACTTCTAGGTATAACTACATACCTGATTACCTTCCGGGTGTATACCGTCTAATCATACAAATAATAAAGGAGTTAGTTCGAGCTGCGAATACATTATATATATATATATATATATTAAATATAGTGTTTGTACTATGCATTTGAGTACGCTGCTCTAAGTAACGGCTTAACTGATATGTCTACGGTTTTCACTAATATATTTCTGTCCGTTCGAAAAGATAAAAGTTAGCTTATTGTTATTGTATATTAGAAAAGTACCAAACACACACAGGCACTATTAAGAAATATTTTTAGACAGATAATCTTTTAATGTATTTTATACGATTTTTTCCTTCTTTCGGAATTTAAGTCAGCAAAAGGTCACACTGTTAAAATATATGTTAGATATATAATAATAACAGTGAAAAAACTGTCAGACACATCAAGCGAGTTGCAATTTATCATTCTTGCCTCGAGGCGTGACTTCAAAGCGCCTCAAACGAGGTCCACAAACGAACCTTAGCAACTTTAATCTCTGTTTAGATAGAACTCTGGGAAAAATCTCTTAAAGGAGTTGTCGGAATATTAATCATGATTCTTGAGTTAACAAGTTTTTCTTTGTAAAGGAAATATTATTGGCCACTGGTTTTTGAAGAGAAGTTTTTTTGCGCAATTCAATTAAGTGAGTAACAATATTTGTTTATAAGAATACTCTGTGAAACTTAGAGCCTTTTTATTCAGATAACAACTTGTTTGAACATATAAATAGAATAGACATTGCGACTTAATATGCTTAGGTACTCTCTCTCTCTATATATACTTAGTCTAATGCTATCTATTACTTCGCATGTTATGTTATTCGTAATAGGTAAACAGTAAAATATGGTGTACAAGTTATGAAATATTTTATGTGATATCTTATATTTATATATACCTTCTGAGTATCTATCACCGTCGTATTATTACATTTGTTGAGATAAAATTTTAATATATAATAGGTATATTTTGTTTTCGTCGATGATGCTTTTTTCAGATTTTAGTATTATTTCTATGAAATTATGCATAACATTAAATATTGTGACTGTATTGTACGTGCGTACGTCATAAAAATATAATGTCACTAGTATATCACCTTTTCATTCCAGAAACCACTTTGTGTAAAAAACAACTATCATAGAAACGAATTACAGTAAAATTTTAAATTGCGCTTCACCTCGGTCACATATTTATCGCAGGTTATGTTTTTTATAAGTGCCAAAAGTTATTGATAATTGGTACCGGACTGGTTCTTTCCATATATAATCCTCGTGTAAAACCTTGCTGTCCTAATTTCAGTTCAGCTTACAATATGTTATCCAATTGTAGTATATGGTTGCGCTGCTCTAACTCCAATGTTTAATCGAACTGACTGGGGAGAGGTACCCCGGAAACCATCATGGCTGGTAAATTCCTGATAAATTCAACATTATAGGGAGACCTAACTTCATTGTCATCCTACCATTCTTCATATCAAATGGGTGTAACTTTCCACTATCAACCGTATAACTTTTGTTTTTTATATTAGGAATTCAGCTTATTTGAGCCAACATATTGGTGTTCGTCAGTTCTGATAGTAAGTGCCATTGCATGGTATTGCCATATTCAGAAGTGAATTTGGCAGTTTGACATAATAAAAATATTATTTTCTAATAACATAACTTTAAATTAAAGTGGGAATAAGACTCAACAGTCTTTTAGTTTAACCCCATTTTAATGGATTCTATTTGGAGCGTGGTTATTGCGGTGTAAGCGGCGCGTGTGATATTCATAGGTTTAGCAGCAAATTTAACTTCTGCTTCGGGTATGTATGACGAGATTAGTTATCTGTTTACCTTTATGCTTAATTTAAATGGAATTGTTAAAGTTAAAAAATAATTACAATTAATTATATAATAATATTTGATTTTTACATCGCATATTGATTATACATTTTATTTAATAATATAAATAGATGATACGAACATGATGTTTTAGTTCTTCGGAATGCAACGCATGAGTGGTCTCACGGACGGCACATCATAACGTGATATCTGTAGTTCAGGTCATGTATATAGGCGAAGTTACTACTTATCATCAGGTGTTCTGTCAGCTTGTTTCCTATTACCGTTACATAAAAAAAATCGAAATAGGTACTCATTACACCATATGCGTTTTTGGCATAAGATGTGGTAATACATAATGTAGACGCGTTCATGAAAATGAAGTAAAATTGTTTTAAATATTCTCAGGTACCATTATCAGTTAGGGTCATAAAGTTCGTTGATAAAATTATCAGTGAAAAGTTACATTCTTGTAAATATTTATATTTATTATCAGTATCAGTTGCAAAATTCACAATGTAATAATAGTTATTTACTTTTTATATATTAAAAATAATACCTACCCCGTAAGGGATATGGGTTAAACACATATACAATAATATAAAAAAATCCATTTATATAGGCTGCAAATTTTTTCGTAAAATTAACACTTAAAGCTACATTTTTGTGTTTTGTTATTTGCATTATGACATGATGGGTAGTGTTTGCCGCGCCAGGAGGTGAACAGAAAGAGTATATGTGTCTATTATGCAAAAACAAACAAAAATACTTATATACTACTACCATAACAACAAATCAGATATTTTTATTACTACATATAACAATATTTCATACGCAAACCACCGATAAATACATTAAAACATTTAGATAAGATGTTCTTCGGGTCTGAATTATAGGATCGTAAACAATTTAAATTTTAATATCATACCGATTGAGATCTCTCGTGACATTTTACCCAATCAAGTATGGAACGTTGCGGGTAGAATGCGCATAAACAAACAATAGCCTATTGATGATATTACCGCGTACAAAGGAGTAATTTATACACAGGCATTACCTGATGTGATTATTAAATTCGAGGGACAGAATCCCTCGGTGTTTGTCGGCAACCCTCGTTTGTGCAACGGGAAAATAATGTTTTGATGCCTATCGACAATTTATTGGAAGTGACAGTTCATATTTTCGGCAAGCAGTTTATTTGCGGAAAAAATTGAGTATACATTTATCGGAACGGAAGAGAATTAACTACGTAGGACCGTTTAATTCAAAATTGTTTTGTTTAGACATGCTTCATGTTATATTTCGATTTGATTGCGGATATTCTGAACATATTAAATCTGTATTATTATCAATGCTTATATTATATAATTATAGACACGACTATTTTATTCCATATGTTATTAGGTAAGTAGCATTTGGAATAAATTAGTCACGAAAAATTATATTGAAAATAAATATTTAAATTAACACAACGAATTATTTTAATTTAATAGTCAATATCATGAAAAAAATTTACATTGCGCTAAATGTTTTAAGATAGAACGTGTCTGACTGTTAGATTGTTATTTACTCACATTGTCTAAGTTAAAATGTTGTTCTTAGAAGACAAAATAACTAAACATTTCATCGGAGAAAAATAATAACGCCAACAAAGAAAAAATACGACATTTAACTTGACACATAGACAGCTAGTCTATCCTCTTTCAGTGAGAAGATAAACAGACAAGACTGATCTTAGATGAGTCTCGTCAAAATTCCCGTGGACTGAAAGGACTGAAATGACCTTGAAAATATGGCAATAATAAAATCTAGTCTGGGTTCAGTAATCTAGTTTCCAAGAAAACCGTAAATATCTACTTGAAAAGAAATCAACACAAAAGGCAAAGCCTTTTGTTTATGATTAGTATTTAGTAATAATATGTTTATAACTATACATCTTTGAAATTTTATTTTTAATTGGTCTATTGTGTTGAAATTTTATAAGAAAAGTAATGATTATTAATTTAGATAACCTATAATAGAGCTCTAAGATCAAAGTAAACTATATAATTATTAGTTGAACTTATAAGTCCAGCACAACTTATTAGTACACAGGTGGTGTGCCAAAACACCACCTTATTTCCAATAGGCAAGGATTCGATTGTTCAGTTGTACTGAACAACTGAACAATCTCTGTACTCATAGTACAAGCTTTGCTTTGTTTGGGACTACATGGCGCTATATGAAATCTCCTGGATTATAGTTATTGTCATGAGTTATGAAAAAATTATTCACTACTTTTTTTTAAACAGGTAAGGGGCCGGGGTATTCGTCGCCATTGGAAGCTTTTAGAAAGGGTCCCATAGAGGAGCTTTTGTACGTGGTTTGCGTGCAACCAGATCAAACCAAAGAGGATTACCTCGCTACTGTCGATGTGGACCCCAAATCACCATCTTATTCACAGGTATTTAAATAAAATGTAGATAATATAATACATTTATAATTTTTATGTTATAAACTATAAAAAAATGTTAAGTTTTTTTTTATTTTTAAATTTCTGTAGTTAGGTTAAAAACTGTATGTACTCTGTAATCCTATGTACTACATGATTAATACCACATGATGATATATAGATAACTAATTATTTAATTTGCTATTTAATAACCTTAGTGATAGTTAGTATTAGGTTGAATTTTGTTTACTAGTGTTTATATAACACAGGACGTTTTATAATTTACAAGTTGCTTTAGATAAAGAAATTGGAAACAATTTCTAGTTATCCGTATTTAGCAAATAAAATTGGTTGGTCAGAGACATCGCGTCGAGCAAGGCCCGTAATCCTAAAGGATTCCACATCCCACTACCAGTCTTATTGTGTACTGTAATGCAATACCTTTCGGAAACTAAATTAACAGGAAGAATGCAATATATTGCTTCTAGGGATTTAGAAGGATTTCAGTAGATTGATTTAGAGTTTAATGTTTATTAACATTGCATTGCTACATTTTCATTGAATTAGTTATAAGTACAGGATCGGTTTTGAGTTTTTAAATTATAGTAACCAGTTTTATATTATACCAAAAAATACGCGGACGGAGAAGTATGAAATATGGCAACAGTAAGTAGTAAGTAGTAAATAGAATATGGTTACACTATAGTCAAAAATATATATGAAGAAGGAGTACACAAAGGAAATATTTTATTTTATAATTATATACAATATACATATATATTTTTAAAAATAGATTCTTAATAACATTCACTCTTAAAATTAAAATTAATTCGAAACAAAGAATTATGGATGAATATTGATCACTAGGTGACCACTATAATATTAATTGTGAGCCAAATTTACATTTAAATTTTGCTTACAATATTTTTTCGAAAAATAGAAAATTGATTTGATCACTGATAGATATTTATTATATTTTTAAATTCCAAGTAAGTATGTACGTAATGGTCAGTGAACTATGCGGTAATCTAAAGGTCACAAAATTATCGATCATTTGTTGAAATAACCTTTTGATTACCGTTATTGTTATGAGCATTTTACAATGATATAAAAGTATAAAGTGCAAATCTAATTAATTATATTTCAAAGTATATCAGCTAAAATAAGAAAATGTTGCAATATGAAATTACAGCTACGGTTTGTAACAACGTGTATCGACGTACATACTCAGATGCATATCGGAACTAATGTGAAGAGTAATATCCACTGAATAGATACGTAGCTGACTGTAATCCGTGAAATGTGTATGTAGAATTCATAGCTGTGATTATTTGACCATATTATATATAAAGCTGTTTTTAAAAAAAATGTAGTCTGGTAATTTTACTAGCTGACTAACAGGTTACTTTTAATCCAGACACCGAAGAACAACAGACAGACATAAACCGAAAATAAAAAACTGCGGTGGTGATAAATGGTTAAATTGTTCCGGAATTTATAGTTTTGTATCCAATATTTGAAATAATGGTTAGAGATAGATTAAAACAAAAACAATGACTAATAGAATTTATGTGTAGTTATCGGAGAGTTAACTTTCTAATTTTAGAAACAGCTTAACATATTTCGGATTGCAGTACTGTATCGTTATAAGCTTTATTTAAATTTTGTGTTTGTTTTATTCTAATCAGTTTTTTAATTAAAACCTAATGTGAAATGTTAAGAAGTCACGAGCTTAACTAGTTAAGAACAAAATCCCATTAACTAATAATAGACATGTTATTATTCTCAGTTTCCACTCGAAGGTTCTGAATATATTTCTTTTTATCACCAGGTTATCCATCGCACCTATACAGGCAATGTTGGAGATGAGCTCCATCATAGCGGTTGGAATGTTTGTTCCAGCTGCTATGATAATCCTGATTTGAAGAGAAATCTGCTTATTTTACCTGCACTTGGATCTGCCAACGTGTATGCTGTAGATGTTGGCACAGATCCCAGGAAACCTAGATTACACACGGTAAATAAATATGCTATGAAATCGTGATTTATTACATTGATTATTATATTAGCCTTAAAAAATGCAACTTTAATTTCAGGTTTAAACATTGATTCTGTGATATTTAATAATCTGAAATGGGGTAGTCAGAGCAATTGTCACCTGTCGATGTCGTGATATTAAAATTCACGTTCAGGACAGGACGTACCCGGATAATTATATTTTGGTCTACCTTTTAGTAGACACAAATCGTCATTAAAAACCGAATTCTTCTTTTATTCAACTGTCCGTTTCTTAAACAATATTACAAATTATTATAGTCATTAAAATAAAATTACGTAAGTGTGATAAATGGAAGTAATTTACATCCATACAATGTGAAAAGATCAATGACAATGAAAAAATCAAAAGATGAACAGTGATAGAAATATTAAAAAATATACGGCTATAAAAAGGTAATAATCGTCTGTATGAGGATTTTGTAATAATTATTTTATACAAATTAAACCATACACTATGGTAAAACATAAATTACTTGATGTGTAAAAAAACAAAGAATAATTAATGATTAGAATAGTGGGTACTGCTAATGGAATAAATGACCAGAATATTTAAGTCCAGTTGATTATTTGTATCGGTATTAGAGATAATAAGACACTGAAATATCGGCCTACATAATGATTTATTGATGAGAATGAAAGAAAGAAAATGATAGGAAGATTGTTCTCTACTAATCTACTCCATATATGGAGATTTAGATAGAGTGGTATCTAATGAATCTGTATAATTAAAGTTAAACAACAGCACTTTCCAAAGTTTTAGTTAAAACAAAAAGTATGTGTTCTATTAAAGAAGTAAACATTAGCAAAATAAGTTTAATTTGTACTATTTAAATATTTTAATTAGGCATATATATATCTTATATTATTGTTATCTCTTAATACCATGTATCCGTATATATGGATACCTCATAGCCTAGTAATTTACTACTCCGATTTACAAACGAAAGGTGGTAAAATTAAATCTGGCGAACATAAATTAATATTTTATGTGTCAACTTATAGAATATTTCTGATTAACTTTCCGATAAAAGAAACATAAAAACCAAATTATACATTTATCAGGAAACGACGGTAAGCTAGCTTCCACGGTACGCCTTGTATTATATATCAAAATATAAACCAATGTTGCGATCCTTAACATCGACAATTTACAATATCTACCACGGATGTCTATCTGGGATGATAGTCATGAATAATATGTAATAGTCGTCATATGTTTTTTTATGTATATGTAAAAATATGTGCTCATAATTCATAGTAGTCAACGTTGAGCTTTTAATATACATTTCTCGTGATTTAAGTTCCAAACTTGAGCAGAGCCACGAACAACACTTGTTTGTGCTGGTAACTCATAAAAACTGAATTTTTATGTCAACAAATCGAGAAAACTTTTTTAATTCCTCGCGTTTTATACTTCAGTATACTTCGCGAAGTTTAATATTGCGAAGGTTGAATTTGCAGCTTATAGATTTGGGAATTAAAGTTGTTTACTGTTAGTGGTGTTTTGTAGTTTCGCGAATAAGTATCGTACTTTATATTGTTTAGGGGTATTTATTATACATGGTCTTGTTGGTCTAGCGGAATTAGTACATTGCCTTACTTCCAATGGCTGGGGATTAGATTCCTCGCACGATACAAACAAAATGTTTACAAAATGAATGAGTGTGGTTAGCCTAGTTCTGTACGTATTTAAAAAAAATTTATTTTATTATTTCTATCAATAGTCTAGTACCCATTACATAAACTCTGTTTTGTTTAGCTTAGGACCAGATAACGCTGTGCTTTCCAGGTTAAAAATAATAATTATTATATATAAATATTATTAAAATTTAAACAGCTTCATTTTTTAATAAAAACCAATGCGGCTAAATGTAAGTCAAACAAAGTCATAATACGGCCCCAAAAAATTATCACAGAATCTTTGAATTGAATTCGATTTTAGCAAAAACATGGTAATGCATCACATAAATAAATTGAGAACCTCATTTTGATAGTCGGTTGAAAATAACTGTGAAAAAAAAACGAGGCTAATGTTTTCAAATGTCGACACCCATTTAACACCGCGTGTTTGTAGGCATATAAAGCTGTAATGTGATAAGTAAATACATCTCGCTCAAAATGGGGCTATTCCGTTATTACAACTGTGATATGAGTTTGTGCTTTATAAATAAGTTTATAATAAGTAAATAATTTATTATTATTGTTTATATATATATATATATTATTATTTACTTTACACTGTAATAATGTTTGTTTGTATGGGAATAAATAATTTTTACCATTTTATGTTTTATCTACATATCTCTGTAAATACAATCTCATAAAATTCATCAAAAATATAAAAAAGTATCAAACAAACAGACAGATACACTTTCTCATTACAATATTAGTATGAAAATTTATGAATAGTCAGTCAATGACTCTATTTTGTGTGGAGTTTTCACATATACAAATAATCTGAACAATATTATATTTTCTGCGTTACTCTTGTTATTTATCTGTGCAATAACTTCGAGCCTCTAAATTATATGAGACTAAAAGAAAAGCTAACAAAATGTTGTATGTATTAACAACCGACTTCAAGACACAGAGAAGCTTCTGAATTGAACGTTTTTTTTATATATTTTGCATATATTTTTTTATAAGTGAAATGATTTTTCATTTTTTTCATTAGAAAACTGAATCTTTTGGTTAAGATTATTAGTATTGTCTATACCGTAATATATAATTATATTTTATTACTTATTAACCAATTGATAAAGCATCTATACAGAGTTACTATAACTATAAGACTAATGAATACTACAACAATTGATCACCGCTTTACTATAATTATAGCTGAGTGTCACATAGTTCCGAAGTGAATTTCGTACAAAGTTGGGACTCATCTCAACTCTGCCTTCTAACTTAGAACATTCCGACTCATGGCAGACAGTTCACGAACTCGTTACATTGCCTGTTAGACCTTCGGTTGGCCTTTTTCACACATTTTCACGATAATCTGGGACAAAGTGTACTCTGGTATATCGATGTTATTTGTATTTGGTACTCTTTATATTGCATTATTTTTATATCCTTATTTGTTTTTACTGTGCTGTGGTAATAAATATAGAGACAGTAGGGAAATAATATATAGAATCAATATTCTTTGGAATAATAAAGAATAGAAATAATATTTATTCAAAAATATTGAATTTTAAGTAGTTTTGAATAGTCAATTTTCATATTTTTACTCCCACTAACAGAAAGTAATAAAAGTACAATATTAATATGTTTCTTTACATTAACAGTATATAATAAATAATTAAGAACTTACTATTAATCTAATTGATTATTAAAGAGAATCAACTTTTACTAAATATTGTTTACATTTAACGAAAAGTAATTTACTTATTGGTATGGTAAGTATTATATTATCCTCATGGCGAATTTATGAGAATGGGAAATATTATAATTATTTGATAGCATGAAAATTATATTTAATTAACACTTTATTACATACATTACATGTATTTATAAAGATTAATTAACGTATAATACACAAGTCTCTTAACTTTAATGGAATATAACATATTAAATCCCACTATTCCATTACGCTCACTAAGAAATTGCATAAACGAAAGTACCTCTAACAGACACCCCAGTCCCTTTATCAACTCACAGCAACGAAAATCTCATTACCAGGTAATCGACGGCACCGAGATGAGGTCATTCAACTGCAGTTTCCCGCACACGACACACTGCCTCGCAAGCGGGGAAATCATGATTTCCACGATGGGTGATAAGGAAGAAAACGGAAAGGGGGATTTCGTGCTCATCGATTCCAAGACTTTGAAAGTGACAGGTAAATGAAAAGGCCTTTGATAAGGGGAGAATACTCTTTAAAAAGATTTCGCTTGATTGGAATATATTTTTTAGGGACTTGGACGAATGGGAATAAGGCAAAGTTCGGATACGACTTCTGGTACCAACCGTACCATGATGTAATGTTTGCCTCGGAATGGGGGACGCCGAAATATTTCAAGACGTAAGTACGGACGTTTTCTGATTTTATTTTTAGATCAAATTGCGTGTAAGAGAAAAGGTCGTATAAGTAGGTATTGAAAATGACTTATTTTAGATAATGAAATCATTTTTCGTTTTATTTATATGTTAACGTAAACTGTAAATCAGTGTTTCAATATTCAATGACTATTACACCTTAGTACCACGATAAGGAGTATAGAAAGAAAATAAAAGCAAAATATAATCAATTACTTTTTATTTAAATAAGGAAAGTATCGATCATTGTAATTGACCATTTTTGGGAATCCATTTAAATTAATACCTCAATTCATCTACAGTCTCGTGAAAATTATACTAAAATATAAAGTAAACCTGAGTATCTTGAATTAAAATATTTTCATTTAATATCACAAAATTATTTTCTATCCGACTATGAATCGGTTCAGTAGTATAACAGCGAACATGCAAACGTCGTAAATCTGCAACAATCGTATATGTATATACTCATACGAGTATGTAGGTTTATTCCATTAGTCCGCTATGAAGATTTTATGGTAACTCCAAAGGATATAATATAATACAAAGGGTGTATAATGTAGATAGAAACACTGAAATTGTAAAAATTGTTGTGTATATTACTAAGTTGTTCCAAGTCCTATTAAAGCATAATAAAGTAATTTTTATTAGATATTTTCGTATAATTTTGAAAGGTACAGTTGAGGAGAATATAGAAATTTGACTTTATTTTAAATTAAAATACTATTATTGCAAAATAAAATCTTTAGGATATAATATTAAATTTCTATCTTTTACTTCATACAGTGGGTTCCATGAAAATGACGCATATAATGTTGAACGGTACGGAAGATCAATTAATATTTATAAATGGTCATCACGTGAACTGCAACAAGTCATAGATCTGGGCAAAGAGGGTGTCGCACCCCTAGAGATCAGATTTCTCCACGATCCTAAAGCCTCAGAAGGATTTGTTGGGTGCGCCTTGGAGGCTAACGTTTACAGGTATGAGATTTGTAAGGATTTGCTCTTTGCTCTGTTTTAAAGAAATGAACAGACAATTACTTCACTGCACCTACATCTTCAATTAAAAATAAATTTTTGTACGTTGTTTTTAGAATTTATTTTGATATTTTTTCTTATTTCAATATACGATTAGCTTTTTTGAGCTCATTTAAAATAGTTTATATCCGTTCTATACTGTAGGAACGTTAATGACGCATGAAATAATTAATATTTATCAAATGATAGCAATTTTAATTTTTATATTTAATACTGAATAGATTCTACAAAACAACAAACGGGACTTGGAAAGCAGATAAAGTAATCGATATACCAGCGAAGACAGTTTCCAAAGATGGTGTTGAATCTCAGCTCAATGGTGAGTCCCTGACTATGAATCAATACGACGTTCCTGTACAATAACAACATCTCCTTTAACTATCTACTATTTTGTAACAAATTATTTGTTTCTATGAAGCCACAAATGATAGGACAGTAAATAAAATATCTCCTCTATTCATGAACATTTTACAAAGAAAGGTTGTAAAACTTCTCAAGTTTTATATAATATATGTATACACATTTCGTCGAGTGAGCTCCATAACGTCATGCACAAGTTAATTTCAATCCTTTGCCTTTGTCCACTGTATGCAGTTTATGACAGTTCCATTAACTTTCTGCTTTAGGTTTAATAAGCGACATTCTAATATCGCTGGACGATAAATATCTCTATTTGTCAACTTGGTTCCACGGTAATGTCAGGCAGTACGACATCACTGATACGACCAATCCGAAGTTAACGGGAATAATAAATTTTGGCGGGATTATTTTACACAATAACCTAAAAGTGATAGAAGATAAGGAGTTCCAGGTAAGAATTTCCAATTTTCCAATGCGGCAATACTTTAAATTAATGTTTCATGACTAGGCACAATTATCTTTGTGCCGCGTCAGTCTTTTCATTTGAGTTTGCACCCTATATTGTTTGTTAAATTACTCGGACAACTTATAGAATTGCTTTGTAAAGATCGAATATCGAATCTCCGTTTTATCAGTGGCACTCAATGAGGAAATAGCCATTATTATTGCTAAAAGTTGCATATAGATGGCGTGATTGGTATCGATGGAATTCTTCATAGTTTTGCAAACGTTTTAAAAAACAAAACGTTGTTTTCAAAATAGTTTAATCCATTTTTAAAAAAATATATATACATGTTAAAATGAAATAATGCGTTTAGAAAAGTAATTTTCATATATTTACTCATTTTGTTATTTTCCAGTACTTAATTACACTTTAATCAGTGCTAATACGGGGCTCAATGTTTTCAAAATGCTTTCATAGATGGCATTGTTGTCATTTGTATCGGCCTAATTAAATGTCTTTTTTATATTTTCCAATAATAAGCACTTAATATATTATTATTGTAAATTAAACATATAAAAAAAGTTTAAGTAAATTAAAAATAGCCGAACAAGCAAATAATACTATTTCCAATAATACTTATGTATGAAGTGTTGTCATATTAAAAATAAATACATGTATTATCGATTTTTTTTAATAATCGATAACAGGATTTTATTACAGCGCATTATTCGATGATGCTTTTAATGAGTCGTTGTGAACAGTAAATTTTCATTATTTTGTATTAAGTATAGCAGTATTCCGTTTCAAAGAACGGAATATAGTAGTACATTATTAGTGTCGTTGGTTATTTACATTTGTACTGAAAAATCGATTACATAATAATTTAAAATATCGAGTACGAGTATCGAGTAGCTGTCTTCGAATACTGGCAACTGGTAAGATTAAAATAGTTTTAAAAAAAAGAGAGAAATCGACCCTAACTCGAATACCATAAAGTTTATTTTCCTTTCTCATTAATATCATAGCAGTTTGTTTTTAACTTGCGTATGACTCTGTGGTATGATGTTTAACGTGTATTGTTATTGTACGGTGCATACATTTCAAAAATTATATTTTAATGTAGGTACAAACATTTCTTTCATACATTTCATACATGTCAAAAATTATCTTTTAATGTAGGTACATACATTTCTTTCATACATTTCATACATGTCAAAAATATCTTTTAATGTAGGTACATACATTTATTTCATACATTTCATACATTTCAAAAATGAACTTTTTATGTAGGTACATACATTGTTTTCATACATCTCATACATTTCATACATTTCAAAAATGAACTTTTTATGTAGGTACATACATTTCTTTCATACATCTCATACATTTCAAAAATTATATTTTAATGTAGGTACATACATTACTTTCATACATTTCAAAAATTATATTTTAATGTAGGTACATACATTTCTTTCATACATTTCATACATGTCAAAAATTATCTTTGAATGTAGGTACATACATTTCTTTCATACATTTCATACATGTCAAAAATTATCTTTTAATGTAGGTACATACATTTCTTTCATACATTTCATACATTTCAAAAATGAACTTTTTATGTAGGTACATACATTGTTTTCATACATCTCATACATTTCAAAAATTATATTTTAATGTAGGTACATACATTTCTTTCATACATTTCATACATTTCAAAAATGAACTTTTTATGTAGGTACATACATTTCTTTCATACATTTCATACATGTCAAAAATTATCTTTTAATGTAGGTCCTTACATTTCATACATTTCAAAAATTTCATACAATACATTTCTTTCATACATTTCAAAAATTATCTTTTAATGTAGGTGCATACATTTCACACATTTCAAAAATTTCATACAATACGTTTCTTTCATACATTTCAAAAAGTATTTTTTAATGTAGGTACATAACACCCCATGTCAGACCCCTTGTATTTGGAAGAAACTTAAAAATAATGCCAAAAATATTAGATGAATATATTTTTAATACGAATATTGTTTTATTTTTGTTCATCAACTTTATCCCTCACTAACAATACTAGTAGTAGTACATAACCTGGTTTATACCGCTAAAGATATTGAAAGATATACGAGTAATTCAGAATGTTATCAAGTTCAAAATAAGCACACATTACTTGCTTAGATAACAGAGTAATATTACTAGTAATAAAAACATTTGTAATACCCATATGTATACTACGTATGTATAGTAAGTACTTACGCTGCGGCGCCGTGAGACTCGTCTAAGTACTTCATCTACTCATCTACGCGCGGTAACCGCGCCGACCGACCAATAGGATAGCGCCTCTCGTGTTTCCAGAAAGTTCGCGACTAACGGACGATATAGTAGTAAGGCAATGAGTGTCCCAGTGATATCATTATAATATTTTCTCGTTAAATTTTATTGTAATATACACAATTTCGCACTAAATAACGTGTTACCCCGTTACACATTTCTAATAATGAAAAACCTAGACCGACCCTGTTCACTTAATCTTACAAGATCTGACTTTAAAAATTACGATATCCTCATATAGCCTTTCATTTCCCCTTTCAATACTTTTTCGCATTAAAAAGTAGCCTTTCTCAAGGTCTACATTATCTGTCTACCAAATTTCAATTAAATCAGTTCAGTAGTTTTGGCGTGAAAGCGAGACAAACAGACAGACTGAGTTACTTTAGCATTTATAATATTTGTAAGAATATCGCTATTAAAAATAGGGGTTGGTGAAAGACGGGTGAAAATTTAGGCGTGTATGTATTTTCAATGTAACATTATAAATAAATAAAAAATTGTCCATAATACAAAAAAATATTTTTTCGGGGTAGGCCACCCCTATGACTTAGGGGTATAAAAAATAGATAACAACCCTACCTCAGACCTGGGAAGTATACATATCAAATTTCATCAAAATGTGGGAGAAATATGGCAACTAACACTGTGATACAAAATTTATATATAAGATATAGCGGAATTCTCATTAGGTAAAAGAGGGGTACATTGTAGAATACATGAGGTAAATACCAGTAAATTAATTGTAACTAAAATCAGTCTCATACATATAACGATTGAAATAAAAAATCGTATAGCCCGATTTTGATACGTACGAGTATAAACGTATCAAAATCAGGCTATACGTATAGCGCAGACGCGTTACAACATATCAAAAAAAATAGGCATGGAATGTAAAATAAACCATAACACAATAGGTATATACATTGGCACATAAGCCATATCTGCAGAGTGTCGGCTAACGATATTATACCTACACATTTACATTAAATCTTGAATCGTCCGTAATGAGGTACACGATACAGTTACCTACATATCTATTATATACATATCTTTGCAAAACAGATGTCATGTAGACTGAATTCACTGCCATCTATTTTCATGCTTTGTTACTAAGCACCCACTAGTAATCCGAACTGCTTCAGATCTAGCGACATCTAGCGGCTACGGTGGCGAAATAAAATAGCCCGAAGAATAGCCTGAGTTAGGAAGGAACCATTTTCTTGTATGGGATGGGGTATCTGTATGTAATATTATGTTATCTGTGGTTTTATTAATGTAAATATAACCTAACACTATAATTATCAAAAATTTATGCCGCATATTTTCGTGGTCAATTAAAATAATTTTATTTTGATTTTTAATTTGCATGATGTTAGTTGTATGCTTAATATTATTTTGTTATGATCTCAAATGACAATAATGAAAAACTTTTTTGGGCCACGAGCTTATTCGTTATTTCAATCACATATATTATAAACTTGTTAATCAACCAAAACTCTGTCGTAGCGGCTTGATTTACTATTATGAAATTTTGTAATTATAGGTACATTCAGTAGGTCCGCCCTACATAAGTGATACCAGTGGTCTATACCAAAAATGAAACATTTTAGTTTTTGGAAAAAAAGAATGTATGATTCATCGAATTATAAATATTTTTTTCGATTATCGATACGATTCGATTAAAAACATACTAAATTATTACCCTTCTACCATCAACGCCTATTTTTAATACTAATATATATGACAAAAACAACCGTTCGCCGGATCAACTAGTTTACTAATATATTTTTTTCGCAGGACTCAATTACACCCGTGAAATTAAAGGGCAAATATTTAGAGGGGTCTCCGCAAATGCTGCAGCTCTCTCTTGATGGAAAACGGCTTTATGTGTCATCGTCACTCTTTTCGCCGTGGGATAAGCAGTTCTATCCAGAAATGATTAAAAAGGTTAGCATGCAATGTCTAGTTCACAATATATTTTAGTTAGAAACAATATTATATGTCTAAATTTATCTATAAGAATTACTTCAATTATAAGTTTATTAATCCCAAACAGATTGTAAAATTATACTTTCAGTGTGTTTACCTATTAGACCTACAATAATCATGGATAATATCACTATCATTTTATCATATTATATTTTATAAAAAATTGATTATATTATAACAAATTAGTAAATAAATTGTATAGCTATTTCATAAGCATCTGAAAGAAATTAATCACTATAAAAATTTCACGAATTTTACGAGAACCAAATTGGTTTAGAAATATTGGTTTATTAAATAAAATAAGATTTTATAATAAAAGAAACATATTTACAATATAAATGACAAAACTGATTATAATAGGTTTCATTATAATAAGAGTACTTAAACATCAGACAGATACTAATGTGAAGTTTGATTTAGAGTCCTGTTACAAATCGTAACACCTCATAACTGAATATAGCCTAGCTTTTGTATGTCAGTGATTGCGTTGGCTTTACAAATCGAAACATATTGTTATTTCACGGCAAAATACGTACGGTTGTATCTATAGATTGATCCAATATGTTATTCTGGGCTCTATAATGAAAAAAAAATGTTCTCCATAATAGATAAGGTGACAGTACTGTAGCCAGTATAAACATATTGTATATCCAAAAATGATCGAAAATTTTCAAGGTTAAACAATATGGACAATATATAAACATATTTTCACGACTGTCCACGTCATTTAGAACGCAATATTTGAGATATGAATATATATAATATAGTTTTAGAATAAACATAAGATAAAGCACAATCAAAAAAAGCAGATGTGATCAACCACTAAATAACCACAACCACTAATTCCGTACACGTCAGGTGATGGATGTATGAAGTATCCGGAATGTTTGCTATTTTAGTTATTCTTCATATTTAAAGATTTTGAACTACTTTGTCAAAATAGTGACCAATGATCTAGAAAAGACCCGTGTCACTGGCCCATTTCCATTCGGTGTACCGTGACATATTACCTCGGTCCATGAATGTGACAGTAGACATAGTATTTTCCAGAACACCCCACATTGGTCCCTAGCAGACCGCAATAAACAGCCCTTATCTCTTATATCAGAGCTTGGACCCTTTATTTATGCATTTTTCCCCTGTGAGCTATAGTTATTCTTTTTAGGCACATTATACAAGGCTTCTGTCACCTGGTTTAACTGAATTATTCATAATCTTGGTACGATTGATCAGCAAAATAAAATTTGTAGAAAATTATGTAGAAAATAAATTGTTAGATGTATCTATAGCAACTGCTAATGATTCGATGGTAGACTTTTGTTCCAATAATTCTGTGTGTGCAGAAAATTTTGCTGCAATTCCAATATCTACATTGGATTGTAATTTTCCAAAATAAGCGCTGGATGAAAAACTTTTACTCTGTATAGGCAATCCTAGTAAGCCACAAAGATAATGTTATAAAAAAATTTTGTAAATTAGTAAAGTATTTATTTTATCTAAGAACAAAAATGATTATGGAGCAAATCATAACATAAATTGACCATTTGTTCCTCTACCCAAAAAAAATATCAGCTTCAAAATTATAATAATTTTAGAACTCTGTTATAATTAAATAAACTTATTTTATCTATTATTTATTTTAATGAAAATATTAATCACTTGCGTAAGTGAACTCAAAGTAATATAAAGAGGACGTTTAATATCACTAGTTTATTTTCTTTGTGTTATATACATTTTCATTTTATATGAATAGATATGTTTATTTGAAGAAATTTTTGTATACGCAATATTGAACGAGTCTGAATTTAGTTGGTGCGTACTATTGATTTTTGATTTTTTATCTCCGTCTTTTTATTACGTAGTGAGTAAGTCAGAAATATAAATTGACCCATAAATTGTTTATGTCATTATATATTCTCTCTTTTGTAATCAGGGTGGATGGATAGTGAAAATAGACGTAGATACAGAAAATGGAGGACTGAAATTGGACCCTAATTTCCTTGTTGACTTTGGGAAAGAACCAAATGGACCCGCATTGCCACATGAAATGAGGTAATTATACCAACATAAATATATAGGTATATGATATGAGTCTATACTAGAGAGAGAGAGAGAGAGATTTTATCGTCTCAAACTATATTTTGATTCTGATTTGATATGTATATGCTTCAAATGTATGTTTAAAATATTTTATTTTACCTTATATTCAAAGAAAGCAGATTCAGACCTTACCTGTACTTTTATCTGCTTTCTTTGAATAAACGATGACCTATGTCTATTCTTGTGATACTATCTATCTTCACATAAATTTAGTAAATGAGCGGTTATTCAGCGGTTTAGTCGAGAGTACAAACAAATAGACAGGTACTTTCGCATTTATAATAATATTATAAATGCGAAAGTAGTTGTATAAGTATGAGTTATTATAAATACATCGTAATTTATATTTTCCCATATTTCATACAGGTTTAGAATTAATTTGCATTTCATACCAAGGGGATAGAAATATAAATATGTATGAATATATCTACGAAATCTAGTCTTATTATCCATGTTTTATTAGTTAAGGGGAGAGTCGGGATCGCATTCCAATGTCCGGAGAAGGGTTGCGTGCCCCCATTTTTCTTCGTCTCTTTCAGAGTGCATAAAATTTTCAATGCTCGTTATTATTACTGCGAAGGGTGGGGAATAACTTCAACATTGAAATATATGTATCATATAAAAATATATATTGTTGCGACAGTAATTCCAGGTGGGTTAGAAAAAATGTATTATTAATTGCGACGTTGTAATAATTCTAATATTTGGAATGACCACATTCTATGAATATTACACCTTATACACAAACAATGTGTGAATTACACTTGGGCGAACATGTATAGTGTTTTTCATATGGTGATTCAGAAATAGAAACTTACACACACAGTGTTATAGACCTTTTATTGATATTGTGTAAAACCTACTGTTACTTATAAATTAGTATACTCGAGCATTTTCTTTGCATAGAAAATATATTAAAAGTGATTAGATATCATATTCTATGGCTTTTAGGTACGTACGAATAAAATAGTGGCAAAAAATGAAGCTATCGTTTAAGGTTAAGGTATTTTTTTGCTTAAACGATACCTTTATTTTCCTTATACAATAAAATAAATATTAGTAGCTGTGTATTTAGCCGCATTACCATCAAATACAGCTTGACTGTGATACACAATTATATGCGTTTCTCAATAAATAGAACATATACACCTCCCATAAGATAAATTACATGATAATACACTGAGGCAGATGTAGAAATTTTTGGAAGAATTTATATCATAACTGTTATGTTCATATATCTTTCACACTTTGACAGTCATTTGTTACTAAAAAACTTTATTTTATAGGTACCCTGGCGGGGACTGCACATCTGATATCTGGCTGGCTCAAGACACGTAAACGAAGTACAGTGTGCCAATATTTTTATATTAATATTCATAATCACAACCATTATATATTCACATTCAATGTATGGTAGTTTTACTTTGAATTTCTACTGTAATGACTTTATAATTTATTAGATATACATATATATAATTACTTTAAAAATTGTAAAAAAAGTAAAGATCTTTTGTACAAAATGAATGAACATGAACAATGAATCAATACATATTATTCGTAAAAATATATCGATATGCTACAAAATTGTTTTATTCGCTCATTATACTATACAATATACTGAAGTCTTGGCGGTCTAACGGTTTAAAACACCGCCATAATTTCGAGGATCGTTGGTTCGATTCTCGTACAATACAAGCATTTGTATTCACGAGAATGATTGTTTGTATTAGTCTGGATGTTTTCTGTGTATATTATGTATACAGACATTTAAGCATTTGTATCAGATGTCCAGAACCATAACACAAGCTCAGCGTTAGTTGTCTTGGGTCATTCTTTTTATAAATATTTGTTATTGGTATACAATGCAACCCCATTTTTTTAAAATATAAGTTTGACAGTATTTTAAATATAAGCTGACAATCCAGCCCACTGGATGGAGGGTGGCGACAGTCATAAATAATTAGATACCACGAACATTAGATATACATTGTGAGGCTCGACCTCATATGTTTACATTCCCAAGGTGTCATGTCCCTGTATCCTGTAATTTTACTGTCATATCTCAACCACTCATTTCTAATTCTTCTCTACATACTTCCCATTTCCTTATGTTTATATATAAAAATTACGTGTCACTTTGTTTGTCCGCGTTGAACTCCTCCTAAACTACTGAACCGATTGCAAATTTAATTTCCATATTGTATGCAATTTGATCCAACTTGAAAGATAGAATAGCTTACATCTCAATTTATAGTCGCAATATTATTTTATTCAAGAACCATAGCCACACAACGTGTGGCCGGCACTGCTAGTATTTATCTTTCGTTGTAATCCAATCTGATGATAAAAAATGTTTTCTCAAAAAGTTTAATAAGATATCGAACTTATTTAGATTGGTGTATGATTTCTAAATATTTTTTTATGAAATTCGCCTATTTTTTTGGAAAGTTTCTCTAGATCGGACTTAAATTACAAAATTAAGATGAAGCATTCAGAAATAAAATAAGCAGAAATTTCGAATGATATTGAGTACATTGCCCTTTTAATAATATTAAATTTTATGAAGGTATTAAATGAACACAGACATAATTAATGTTTAACATAACAAGACACATTTAATTTTATTTAATACATTTCTATTATAACTAACATTGTGTTTGTAATTTAGAATTACAATTGTACGAAATTAATTTAAAAGCGTGTGGCAACTACATAATGAATTAACAACTTTTATTGTATTGTACACTAACTTTGTTAGTTCGATTCGGTTAAAATAAACGATCTAAGCTTCATGTATTATTCTAGCTGACCCTATAAACGTTGTTTTGCTCTATAAATTAAAATAGGGGTTGATAGTGAAAATCTAGGGTGTACGTATATTTAATGCCACTTTATAAAGAATAAAAAAAATTAAACCCTTATCACTTAGGGGTATGAAAAATAGATAGTAACCGATTCTCAGGCCTACTGAATATGCATATAAAATTTCATAAAAATCAGTCAAGCCGTTTCAGAGGATGGTAACTAACATTGTGACACCAGAATTTTATATATAAGATTTTTTATCTAAATAGGCACTGAAAGAGGAATGTTAATTAATGTTTTATATGTATAAGATTTACAATTATTGTTGAAATTACAGAATAAGAAGCAGAGATCTTAGTTCTCCGGAATAGTAATGCAAGACTACATAATGTTATTAACGTGCTGTTCATGTATGTAGGCGACGGTAACAATTTACCATCAGGTGGGCTTGTTAGTCATTCTAGTTACATAAAAAAATGTGTATTACATGTCAGTTTCGTTCCGCAAAGGCTAAACACAATAATATTATTCCTTAGCGCTACTTTTCCTCACTACGATATTATAGGACAAGATAAGATTTTTAAAATAAACCTATTGATCAACATTATAATGATACTAAACCTTATGACGAACAAACCTCACACATTAGGGTTCTATACCTCTAGGGTTGAATATAATGGTCCCACTGTGTGAGACACAAAATTCTACCGACTACGGATTTTCTACGTAAAATAAAACATACCAACCTATTCATTTAAATAGGTATTTCTATTATAAGATTCACACAAAGAAGTTTACATAAAAGGTATCGAACTGCGCTCCTGGGGCAACCGACGAGATAAAACTCCTTATTTATTTTATAGTTCCGCAGTAAAACAGCCGTGTGGTGTGCTATCGAAGTTTGTATAATATTGTAGTTGTAATGTTCTAACTGAAAATTTATATCCTTCTCCCACCTTTTTTTCGTCTTGTTGTTATTGATTATCTTATTTAATTCAATTTTAAAGCTTTTTTTTCATCTACATATATTTTACTTCATAATTTTATGTCTTTTGTTTTAGTTCGAAATATATATTTACAATAACAACATAGAGAAAATCATAGAACAGATTACTTTTTAATGTTGTAGTTTACTAGTTATTTCCCGCCACATTGACCGCTTATTTTGATATAAAATATAGTATACCTATATCGTGATATAATATGAAATTTGAATATGAACCAAATAGCAAGCTATTTAGTCTAATGAAAAGGTAAAATAGACAGACAATTTCCCTGTTTTACGGACACAATTTCGAATTTATAATATTAGACTGAAAATGTAGATAGGAATAGTAACAAGTGAAAGTCGATGTGATAATAGTGCAATTTTATAATGATTATATTCCAACAATATCAATATTATATATCCATCACTAAAACCGATAATTTGTCATACTATAAACTATTACTCATTATGCAAGTTTTCTTCGAATCAAAGAATCAAAAAATATGTTACAAGTATACAGACAAAAAATTCTGAGATGATAGCATTTTCAGATGCACAACAAGGCTAATATTCGTCAAAAGGAGCTGACAGCCTTTATGTCGCCTATTGTCTCATCTTCATGCGCTATAACGCCATGACGTCTTTTGAAAACAGTTGCTACAAGCTCTCACAAATCCAACAACATCTGTAAACATAACTATAAACGTCTTAAGTACTTTTAAACGTAGTAAACAGTTGTGTCTTTGAATTGAAATATCATGTCAATAAGAATAAAATATTAATGCACAATTAATATAAAGTTTCATAAATAGATATGTATTGTACCTATGTCTAGTAGGTAATAAGATGTAAAAGTAGAACTTGTTAATGTATATAATTATATTAAGACACTAGGTTCCATTATTGATAACTCAGGTGTCATGTCTCCTTAACCTATAATTTCATACACACTGTTATATCTCAGCCTCAACCGGAATGCAGAACGCAAATCAAGTCACTTGGCAGTAGAATTACGAGAGACAAAGGCACCTGCACTGACGACTGTACAATATCTCTATGGTCATTTCAAATTATAAAGCAGCATCGGACATTACCTTACCTATCTGCTTTCTAACCATCGTTGCATTATATTGCCTACCTAATTGTGGTTTCTAAAGCTTGAGGAGTCCATTCTTTGAGGTTTATTGCCTTTCAGACCCGGATTCTAATCTTGCACACAGATCGATGGAAAGCAGCAAAATAGAGATTGCTTTCACGATAATGGTACAATCTTAAAAGGGTCCAAGAAATGTCCAACGGGTATTAAAGGGCAGTCGTAACCATTACTGGTCTTAGCTTGAAGAAAATTTAAATATTCATTTCACTTCCCCCCTTTGATGGGCACTTAAGCAATTGGATGTCTTTTTTCGATACGATTCTTTCCCGTGTTTAGAGTGCTCACGATTTATACGTATTTTGCTCTAGATGCTTTTAAAAAAATTGCTAAATTCTTTACTTTGATAAAATATATCCAAGTTAATAATAATAATGGTAATAGCATATCTATAGCAACATAATTACAAAAAGGTTTTTATAGCAGCTGTTTTTAATCCCACAATGTATTTCTTAATAGATATCACAGTTATCTCTTTGGAATATTGTAACATCCAAATTTATTCAATAACTACCATCATTTATCATCTACTAATAAAAAGAACTAAAGCCTACTTATGTGGCAGAAACTTGAAATAAATTGTATTACATTGTACATATCTACACATTCTATAGTATATCATATTCATTACGTTGACTATCACCCATTCTCGTGGAAAAACTATTATTAGTTAAACATTAAGGCTAGGTAATGCAGAATGTAAAAAACTGCGTGATATTAGTGAACAAAATAATACAAAAGTGCTTATTTACTTACATAATTAGCGAATTATGTAAATTAAATAAGCACTATTTTGTTATAGTGATAATGCTCTTGGATTAGTATGTTTAACCATATAAAAACCGCCTACAATCGTTAACGATGACGATTTATACTACGACAAGTAATTATTTTCAGATGCAGATACCGCAACCAATTAACCTGAAAATCCATACAAAACCCTAGCTTATATTATTTGAGGATTTCTCCGAATTACCCTGTGATCATATTATCCTGAGTTAGTGTCGATGGAACTAAGTCGAGAATTGAGACAAAAACAATTCCTAACAAAAAAAAAGAATACTGAAAATTGTTACAAAACAATGAAGCCATTGATAAGCATACATAGCGAACCCCCTCCTTTTCTGAAGTTAGTTAAATATATATATATATATATAATATGTATCTTAAGATTATTCATATACCTACATACATTTAAAGTGTAGTTACTTAAATAAGAGTACATTTTTACTGTGCAGTATCAACAGAGACCGGCCAAATTGAACCATGTTTGTTTTATTGTGTATCTTGCTGAAACTAAAGAAATTGAGTTATGAAAGTGCAGAAAGATTTATTGTGACGCCTTATGGTGTACTTTAAGAATTTATTCTCTCTGTGACTTTATTTATGTACCTTAAAGTTATAACTTTAAGGTTGAAAATAAAAACCAGCGTAATATTTATTCTTAAAAAATGACACAATTTCGCCAGCTTTAATCCTTTTCCTTACTGAGTAACTTATTCTAATGATCTTAAACGACTCGAAATAAATCTAAAGATAAAAGGAAAATAAA